AGTTTTCATTTTTATGCCATGAAAATGATTTGATTTTGGTTTCTTCTTGGAAACTTCTTGATATATTTTATTGAAAATCATGAGGAAATATCATTTTCAACATTTTTAGTCGGTAAAATGCTCATATTACGTATGCATATTTAGTTATATAAAATTATGCTTATGAGTCAATTTTTTATGTTTAAAATATCTAGTGATCCATATAATCTTAATTAATCAAGAATTAGCCACAACATCCTTAATTAATTAAAATTATATATAAAGTTAAAATAAGGATCACATAAGTAATTAGACATCATATTGTGACTGATTATATTTCATATAATAATAATTATCCCACAGGATCTTTTATTATATTTAATATAATTAATCAGGATAAAATATCAGATTATTTTCATAATTTACCCACATGGATTATAAATTTGAATATAATTTGATAGTTTTACCATAAAGGCCATTTGAATCTATTTGAATTAAGAATTTAGCCCACAAGCAATTTTTATGTTATGAGATTCATATTTTTTAGCATGTTTCACATTGGTAAAACATGCAATTTAGACTATTAAGTTTCAAATTTTGACATAAGCATGTTTGATTTTACGTAGTTTCTTAAACTGTTAATTTCTCTAATATTCGATGTGATATTCCCGAACTTAATGGTGATAACTATAAGATATGGAAGGAGAGGTTTCTCCTCCATTTAGGGTGGATGGATATTGATTATGCTATTAGGAAAGACGAACCACCTATAGTCATTAATACCAACACTTCAACTGAGATCACGTTATATGAGCGATAGGAGTGATCCAATCGGCTTAGCGTGATGTTTATCAAAACTAAGATAACTGCTGGCATACGTGGTTCTATTGACCAGCATGAAAATGTCCGAGACTTGCTAAAAGCTATCGATGAACAATTCATCACTTCGGATAAGGCACTAGCAAGTACCCTAATAATGAAATTCTCATCCCTTAGACTCACCAACATAAATTCTCATCCCTTGTATGAAATTCTCATTCACATGAGCACATAATGCAAATGTGAGATATTACGGCTCAACTTAAGAAACTTGTGGTTAATATATCAGAATCCTTCCTCATGTGGTAAGTAAGTTAAAATTGTGAGATCAGATAGAGGTGGAGAATATTATGGTAGATATACTGAAAATGGACAAACACCTAGTCCTTTTGCTAAGTTTCTTCAAAAACATGGGATTGTTGCCCAATACACTATGCCTGGTTCTCCAGACCAGAATGGTGTTGCAGAAAAAAGAAACTAAACAATATTAGACATGATGCAGAGTATGCTTAGCAACTCCAATCTTCCTAAGTTCTTGTGGACTGAAGCACTAAAGACGGTTGTGTATATATTAAACAGAGTTCCAGCCAAGACTATCCAAAAGACACCATTTGAATTATGGAAAATTTGGAAACTGAGTTTGAGACATATGCGCGTTTGGGGATGTATGTCTAAAATCATGATATATAATTCATAAGAGAAGAAACTGGACCCGAGGACTATTAGTGGTAATTTCATTGCATATGCCGAAAAGTCCAAAGGTTACAAGTTCTATTGTCCATCTCACACAACTAGGATTGTGGAATCAAGAAACGCTAAATTTCTTGAGGATGATGTGATTAGTGGGAGCAATCATTTTAGGAATATAGTTTCCGCACATGATCATATAGAATCTCAACCTTCCACATCAAATGATAGATTGGTTATAGTTCATAGCACTCCTCAAGTACAAATTAGTGCTGAACAACCAATCATTGAAATTCCATAAGTTATTGATAATATTCTAATAGATCAAGCAGTTCAGGAATTACAACAAGCTCTTGAACGACTAGTTGAACCATAAGTTCCTTAGGGAACTATTGATACAACATTAAAAAGATCTACTAGAAATAAAAGATTAGCAATTCATAGTGATTATATTGTATATCTACAAGAATCTGACTATAATATTGGAGCCAAAAATGATCCTGAAACATTTTCACAAGCCATGAGTTGCAAAGAGTCAAATTTGTGGCATGATACTATGAAAGAAGAGATGAATTCCATGATGAGCAATGGAGTATGAGATCTTGTAGAGTTGCCTAATGAAGCAAAGGCTATTGGTTGCAAATAGGTCTTTAAAACTAAGAAAGATTCATTAGGCAACATTGAGAGATACAATGCAAGACTTGTTGCAAAGGGATTTACTCAAAAAGAGGGAATCAATTATACAGAGATGTTTTCTCCTGTATCTAAGAAAGATTCTCTACATATTATTTTAGCATTAGTTGCTCATTTTGACCTTGAGTTGCAACAAATGGATGTGAAAATGATATTTCTTAATGGAGATCTAAAGGAAAAGGTTTATATGAAACAACCTGAAGGTTTCTCCTCTAGTATTGGTGAACACTTGGTTTAAAGCTTAAGAAGTCTATATACGGCTTAAAACAAGCCTCCCGCCAATGGTATTTTAAATTCTATGAAGTGATTTCTTCATTTGGATTTGTTGAAAATCCTATGGATCAATGCATATACCAGAAGGTTAGTAAGAGTAAAATATGTTTCCTTGTTTTATACGTAGATGATATTTTGCTTGCAACCAACGATAAGGGTTTGCTGCATAAGGTGAAACAATTCCTTTCTAAAAATTTTGACATGAAGGATATAGGTGAAGCATCTTATGCCATTGACATTAAGATCCATAGAGATAGACCTCGAGATATTTTAGGTCTATCACAAGAAACCTATATCGATAAACTTTTAGAAAGATTTCGGATGAAGGATTGTTCACAAAGTGTTGCTCCCATTGTGAAAGGTGATAAGTTCAATTTGAACCAATGCCCAAAGAACAACTTTGAAAGGGAATCAATGAAAAACATCCCATATGCTTCTGCCGTAGGAAGCCTTATGTATGCTCAAGTCTGTACTAGACCTGATATTGTATTTATTGTGGGGATACTAGGTCGATATCAAAGTAATCCAGGTATGGACCACTAGAGAGCTGCAAAGAAAGTGATGAGGTATCTACAATGAACCAAAGATTACATGCTTATGTATTAGACACACAAACAATCTAGATGTGATTGGTTACTCAGATTCAGACTTCACCGGTTGTGTTGATTCTCGTAAATCAACATCATGTTATATTTTTATGATGGTTGGTGGAGCTATTTCTTGGAGAAGCACCAAGCAAACCTTGATTGCTACTTCTACAATGGAAGCTAAGTTTGTCTCCTATTTTGAGGCTATATCGCATGGTTTATGGCTTAATAGTTTAATTTCTGGGCTTAGAGTCATAGATTCTATTTCTAGGCCATTAAGAATTTTCTATGATAATTCAACTGTTGTTTTTATGGCTAAAAAAATAAAAGTCGAAGTCGAAGTAAATACATCGACATTAAGTATTTAGCCATAAGAGAACGTGTAAAAGAAAAGAAAGTGGTCATTGAGCATATTAGCACTGAATTGATGATTGCTAATCCTTTGACTAAAGGCATGCCACCTCTGAAATTCAAGGATCATGTAGAGAAATTGAGACTTGGTTCCACTTTGTAATTGCATTGAAACTCTTATATATTGTGAAATTTTCTCATTCATGTGCACATTATGTTGAGAAAATATATTATTACTGAACCAAGAATAAACATAAGGTTTATTCATTAAGTAATATTACCACATTAAGATTAAGAAACTAAATACATCGTAATACTCGCTCTTAGAGGACTTATCGCTATGATTCATGTATTTATTTCTTAAGAAAGTTGTTCGAGAAAGATTAATTCAAATTATTAAGCTAAACATATGGATCAAGTGGGAGAATGTAACCGTTATTATTAAATATCATATTTAATAATAATGTAACCGTTCTTATTAAGATTCATAATTCATTATAATCAATTTCTTTATTTATTATATTTTAAATATTTTAATTTTTTATTCTTAATATAACTATTATTATTAAATATTTAATATCATTAAGTTCTTAATTATGGTCCAAACGTTACAAATTTGAATTAATTCTTGAACGTTATGAGTTTGTGATAATAAATGTTCTTGATGGGAGAACATCTATATATATATATATATGAGGATTTTGGTCCCTATGCTTAATCATCTATAAAGCGAGAGTTCTGAGTCGAGAAGTACGAAAGTTTAAGAATAAATTTCTACGTAAATCCTTGACAATAATGACCGAAGGTATGCTATTTTATTTCCAAATTAGTTTTTATTTTATTTCTATTATAATGATTTAGAAACGGTATCGAAGAATTTCGGAGGCGGCGTTCCGCGAAGCAACATGCTTTTGTACACGGTGAAGCAAAATGGCGCCCACGTGAGACGCACAACTCGTGTTCACGAGATGTGTGCGTTTAGAATATTTTAAGATTCTGTGCAGTGACAAAACTACCCCTTTACATGTGACTCGTGATGGGCCGATCTCATGTTAATAATAGTTATCAGAAGGAATGTGTTTCTCGTGCCTAAGCATTTGCCCTACCACTTCCACCGTCTTCCTTTTCCATAAATTGACCCTATCCTCGATCCACTTCAGCTCCATAAGCCGCAGCCGCAGCCGCAGCAATGTCTTCCCCGGCTCTCTCCTTTGCATTCTTCCTCCTCCTCATATCCTCCTCCACGCTTCTGGTTGCGTCCATGGACTGTAATAAGGGCGACCGTGAAGCCCTCCTTAAGATCAAGGAGGGCCTCGGCAACCCTCCCCAGCTCTCGACGTGGATCCCCGCCACCAACTGCTGCGCGTGGGATAACCTCTACTGCGACGACACCGGCCGCGTGTACAATGTCTACATCTACAATGCCGATGTCACCGCTGCACTCCCCGTGGCCTTCGGCGACCTCTCCGCCCTCCAGAGCCTCTCCCTGCAGGACATGCCGGGGCTCACCGGCCCCATCCCTCGCTCCTTCGCCAAACTCTCACAACTCTACCTCCTATCGATCTCCAACACCTCCATCACCGGTCCCGTCCCGGACTTCCTCACGAGTACTAACCTCAGCGCCCTCACCCTCCCCAGCAACAAGCTCTCCGGACCCATCCCACCCGCGCTGAGCCGCCTCCCTTACCTCCGCTACGTGGACCTCAGCCACAACATGCTCTCCGGTCCGATACCGCAGGGGCTGCTGCACGGAGAGTACCAGTTCCTGATACTCTCCAACAACCGGCTGACGGGGGCGATCCCCAGCTCCTACGGCAAAGGAGACGTGAACACCATCGACCTGGGGCACAACCGGCTCACCGGCTACCCGTCGTTCCTGTTCGACAGAACGAGGCCGACGGTCAAGCTCGACCTGTCGTGGAACGAGCTGGCGTTCGACATCACCAAGGCGGCGCTGCCATGGCACCTGGAGTACCTGGATCTAAGCCACAACCGGATCAGGGGCGGGGTCCCCAAGTCTCTCAAGGACCTGTACAAGCTTCTGGTGCTCAACCTCACCTACAACGAACTCTGCGGGGAGATCCCGACGGGGCGAGCGATGGCATATCACGGCGCCGAGTGCTATCTCCATAACAAGTGCCTCTGCGGGACACCACTCCCACCCTGCCGCCACTGAGCTTGCTACGGTAGGCACAGTTGTTAGCATCTTCTATTATCTATCTACTTTTGGGCCAATGACGATGTCTGCGCGTCTTGAAATGAGTAAGCAAACGCATGCTTTTTTATCTGCTAATGAAGAAAGAAGGAGCAGCAATTCAAGGATGTGTGTAAGCTTAGAACCGTGTTGACCGATGGTCAAATACATTCATCAGTTACGCGTCCTTCAATAGTTTACCTGTCGATGAGGTACAGCTTGCTGGTCAAAAGAATCCAAAGTCAATGAGACAGTCTCCTTGGTAGACTTCCTGTATATCCACGTTGTGGCCACCAATGCCGATGTGGAAAGTACACGTGAAGGTTCCTCCATTTGCGGATCAAAAAGTGAGATGCAACGTCACCTTCTTTATCGCCCCCCAAATGTTTTGGATATCATAAAAAGAAGATACATCATAAATCATAATTTCAACTAATATTAACTTGCGCTGACAGAAATTAACTACAATAATAAGATTTTAGTTTTTGAAAAGATTATATATATATATTGTACTTAAAATATTTGTTCGATAGGAATATCATTTAATAATATATATATATATATATATATATATATATATATTTGCAGCAGAATATTATTATGTGGAGCCCTCATAAATTATTTGGACTGCACGTATGCGACAAAGCTGCATGGCGAGCCACGTGGGAGGCTGACCAAGTCAAACACCAGCCGCCATTCGACATGCAAACATTACATCGATTAAACGACATAATTAATTACTTAGTGCGTATCAAACGTGCTTGTAATTCAATTTCCTCATCAACATAATACGCCCTAATTGATATTTATTGATTTGATAAATATAATTGTTATTAATACTGAATAGTACAGACATTGCTTGGTTTCTGGGTGTTGTGCTGGCTTCACACTTTATGAAATTTGTAATTACATCATCAATGATGATGTTATTACACCATGGAGTTATAATTTCGGGAATAGAAAGTAGTTGAAGGAGAGGTGGAGGATGGATTAGCTTTCCATCACACTTGATTAGCTAAGCATTATTAGCGAAAGGGATTTGGGCTAAATTATAATAGGAATATTTGTGATCAATAAGAGCATGTGGTTGCACAAAATCCGGCACATCATGAGGTCAAGTCTTGAGCTCTAAAACTAAATCAAGTGGCACTTAACTTAAAGAAGGAAAAGAAAACATTTTAAGAAAATTAATATTAAGATAAATAAAGAAACAAAAGGATTTAACCCCAACAAAGTTGGTTTTAATGTGTGTGTGTGTGTGAATATATATATATATATATAT